AGTATGGTTAACCACCTATTTACCGTTTGGAGATATAAGCATGATAATATATTACCTTGAGAATTTTAAATATCTGTATCGCGAAAACTACTCGGCCGATCTTGTCGTGACTACCATATGACCTTGACCTATACATGGCCTCATATTGACATGAGTATGGTTAACCACCTATTTACCGTTTGGAGATATAAGCATGATAATATATTACCTTGAGAATTTTAAATATCTGTATCGCGAAAACTACTCGGCCGATCTTGTCGTGACTACCATATGATGGTTTGGCCGAAATAAGCGTGAAACGATATGACCTTGGGAAGTTTAAAGACCCGTATATGGCAAACTATTGGGCCGATCTTGTTGTGACTTCCATATGACCTTGACATATACGTGGCTTTATTTTGACACGAGTATGGTCAACCAGGTATTCACCGTTTGGCAGAAATAAGTGTGAAAAGATATGACCTTGAGAATATCAAAGACCAATATGTGGGAAACTAGTGGGCCGATCATATTGTGACTATCATATGACCTTTTCCTTTACCTGACCTCATTTTGACATGGGTATGGTCAACCAGGTATTCACAGTTTGTCAGAAATAAGCGTGAAAACATATGACCTTGAGAAAATCAAACACCAATATCTGGGAAACTAGTGGGCCGATTTTGTCGTCACTTCCGTATGAACTTGACCTTTACGTGACCTCAAACTGACTTGAGTATTGTCACTGAGGTTCCTACAGATAAGCAGATATACGCATTTGAAAAATTGACTTCAGAATGACAATGAAAAATTTAAAGGCCTCTGTTCGCTAAACACTCGGACTGATATTGTCGATACCATCACATAACGCTGACCTGTCAGTGACCTCAAACTGACATCAGTATTTCCAGCGCCTGAGCCTTCCCTGTACTGCACGGCCAGAGCAGCGATTCGAGCGAAAATATCAAAATATTTGATATTGTCAACCGCTTGGACTTCCGCCGCGTCGCCCACGCCACCCGCACCGCTCGCATTTCAGCTTCGTAAGACCTATTTACATTTTACTATGTTTAGTCACACTGAAAATTTCTGTCTTCTGGATTGTTACACTGTGTAGTCTGATAAACTTTTACCGACGTTTTCAGAGTTGCTTTCTATTTCCATAACGCCCTGATGATGGAGGCAAGTACCTCTGAAACATCGGCAAACATCTACCGGATTACATGGCGCCACAATACAGAAGACAGCCATTTTTAAAAGCAAAGATCATTTACATATTTTAAGTGGATAAATCTCCCTTCAGACAAACATTACAGTCCCTTTGTTTCTGCTCATACTGCATGGTAATCACTGAATCAAAGTGAACAGAAAGTAACAACAGTCCTAGAGGAGGCAAATAATATTTAACGATATACTTAAATAGTAGTGATTAAATACAAAGTGGGCGTGATGTTTGGGTCTTGAGGAATTACAGAAGCAGGGCAGTGAACTCGCTTTTCCACGAAACTGCATGTCCATCTGCCTTTCTCCTTCTATTTATTACCAGCTACTGGTCTATGCTATTAGCTCTCGAAAATTAGTTAAGACAAAAGAGACGTGGAGACGTCGTCTTGTAGCTGCTCCTGACGTGCGATGCATTCCAGTGGCCAGAAACATGTAATTCAATATGGCCAAAAGAGCGTTTCTGTTTCCAGAGATCTCATAATGGCTACGCAGCAAGCACGTACGTCTGTCGGTGTATGACCGACTGTAGAGAGACGTTCCATTATGGGCGAGGGAATTAAGAGAGATGCATGAACTCTGAGGTTCTCACGGCGTTGAATATGTTGATATTGATATTCTAGATGGTAATGCTGTGTGGGCTTGTAAGCAGATAGCGTCGGTTTGAAGAAAAATACTGCCTCCACCTTCAGACCTGAAGACCAACATCGACCTCAGTTATCAGAGACGTTTCTGCAGTTACGGGTTTCCTGAACTATTTTTGTCTGTGGAACAATTTTCGCTTCAAAAGAATTAGCGCTATTCTCGTAAAATTATATACATACCAAAATTCCATTAAAAAGGTCGATGTTCATGCGGTATGCAATGAGATGAAGTAAATTTAAACATATGATTCAGCATAGTTCCACGAAGCACAATTTGGGAATCACTTAAATACAATTTGCAACTTTTTCTCTCGGTTAATTGATTTCAAGAACTAATAGGTACTTCTGTCCCACCCTGTATAATTATTTGTTGGGGACATTCAATACGTCAGACGATTGGACAGTAACGAGGACTGTGCTGGTCTA